AATTGGATAGTAGAATAGTATTAAAGACAGGCGATTTGAAGTATTCCTGCAGTTTATAGTATGCCAGAGAAAATGCAGCAAATTTAACTACCTATCTCCAAAAATACTATTTTGTCGTCCCTTCCAATATTCGGACACACTACCCTTAATAAATGGTCCAGCATAATGGATTTTTTTGAGAATAGATCTCAATTTGTGAGTGTCCTTGATAGTGGTCGCCTATTAAAATCGACATAACTGACATCGCCATGCGCGTTCCTCAGGGCTCTATATTAGGACCAGTGTTATTCAGTCTCTACTTAAATGATCTTGAGCACTGTTCAGCTGAATATGCAGATGATACTTTTTACCTGTAATTGTTATGCTTTGGCCTGTGTTTTTTATATTCCATTTGGTCTATGCTGCAGATTTTATTAAAGGGTGAATGGTGTATGTCGAAATTTGTTTTATATTTTGAATTAGATCATTTACAGTTTCGACAAGTTCCTTCATGTTCAGGTATTTATTTTCATTTCATTCGTTTGGCAATAAATTTGACCTCTTGACTTTTTTCCGTCCGATGAACCGTTTTCGCATAAAAAAAATCATGCATTTGTGGTATAGCGAAATTATTTTGAACTATAATTTATCAAACGAACCTACGGAGTAATAAATCATCTGACCGGCACGCGCCTCAATCTTATCGGTCCGTTTTCGGTAGATAAGCCGCCAAGTTCACAATAGCACTTCAAGTATTTCCGAAGGAATGTCTGTGACGTGCGGTTGATTTTTTTTGTGTGCTTCATTTATTTTTGAGACAACTTTTAAAAGGATATTTGGACATGAGTGCCTTATTAGGCGAGGGCCAATTACCAAGAAAGCGGACAAAAAGAGATTTGTCGGTTTCTGAAAAAGAAATTATTATAAATATTTACATAGCTTCTCGGGAGTGCTATCCAAACGAAACTCAGACAGAACCTGTAGCCTTTGTTTCAAGAGCATCAGGTGAGGATTTAGCTTTGAAGTATAATTTAAAATGTTTTGTAGTTTGATGTATTATTCTAAATAATAGTTATTTTCTATTAAATATCTTACCCACTAATATGATAGCTACATTTATTTTTTTATTATTTATTAATGCATGTATATTTACAATATATGCAAAATGTATTAATTTGTTTTCACGAGCATCAAGTAGCAGTGTATATAACATTTTGGCAGAGCACAAAAGAAGCAACAGTCTTTCTCCTCCCAAAGGTTACCATAGAGCCAGAGTAGTTTTGGACAACGTTTCACAAGAAACTAAGGCAATAATCCGAAGAAAAGTCCACGAATTTTTCTTCCGAAACGATCCACCCACATTGGACAAAATTTTGTTATCAATAAACGACGACTTGCCAGACTTCAAAAGATCGACGTTGGCTACATCGATGAAGGAACTTAATTTTCGGTAAGTGTTGTACAAAAAACTTATTTTGTTTTTTATTCCTCCTTGAAAGTAAAATACAAAACTAAAAAAATCCGTAAAACAAACAAGAATAGTTTAGAGTTTTTTATGTTTTTTATCATTCTCTATCAATACTTCATGACTAAACTAAATTTGCAATTTTGTTAAGATGATTCACCTGAAAATCGTTATTCGTATAAAATGGTTAATTGAATTAACGATTTTAAAGGTTTAATGTAATTTTTAGTTTTGTAGGAAGGAAGCGAAATAGCATCTTGAAAGAAAAGGACGAGATAATATGTTGGAGACGTAGATACTTACGTGAAATCTGGAAGTATAGAGAAGAAGGCAGGAAGATATACTACCTAGACGAGACTTGGCTCAATGCAGGGCACACTGTTAGCAAAGTATAGATGGATCATCAGTTGAGCATCCTCGGCAAGCCTTCCTGGAAGGTCTCTCCACGGGATTAAAAAATCCGTCAGGGAAAGGAAAACGATCAATTATCTTACTCATCGGATCTGATAATGGCTTCGTGGAAGACGGACTATTGGTATTTGAATCAAAACAAGCAGGAGACTACCACGCCGATATGAATGCCAATTTATAAGAAGAATGGTTTGAAAATATTATAAGCTGTCTAGAAGAGAACGCTGTCATTGTTATAGACAATGCGTCATACCATAGTAGGCGTATTGATAAAGCACCAAACAGTGGAAACAGAAAAGGGGAAATACAGAAATGGTTACGAATGCATGATGTTTCCTTTGACAACGATATGGTCAAAGAACTTTTAAATCTGGTCAAGGGCAATAAAAGTGCTGACAAGTATGTCATGACGAAACGGCTAAATCTACCAATCGGACTATTTTACGCCCGCCTCCTTACCATTCCCAGTTTAACCCAATCGAGTTAATTTGGGCGCAAATTAGAAACAAAGTTTCCAGAAAAAACACAACTGTTAAGATCGCAGATGCAAAGTAGCTTTTTTACACCGCGGTACAAAATGTAAGTCCGGAAAATTTAAAAAAAGCAATCGAACATGTTGAGAAGGAGGAAAAAAAATGTGGACAACTGACCAATGTATGGAAAGATTGGTTGAACCAGTGATTATTAACTTAGGAAATGATTCAGAATCTTCAAATTATACTGATAGTGATAGCCATTAGTTAATAAATGTAATTTTTATATTTACTGGATAATGAGGAAGAACCTATATTCCTATACATACTTATATAATTACCATGTTTATTTCTACGGCTCTATCCTGATAGACTTCAAAGTAGGTTATCCCAATCCTGTATTAATCCTGACCGCTAATTTCGAAGGAGCCCTATGTCCAAGATTTTGACGTTATCAGTTTTGATTTGACTTGTGGATTGCCGAAATAAACGGTCAGGATTATACATGATTGGGATAATCCAGTTTAAAGTCTATCCAGATAGAGCCGTCGAAATAGACGTGGTAACGAATGCAGGTAGATTCATTATTAGGTATTATAAAAAGATCCAGAATCCAATCTAAAAAATAATTTAATTTTTTAGGCCTTTTTTTATTTTTTCCCATGTATTAAAATTATTTTTGTAATATAAAAAATATATAAAGTTAACGAATCATAAACTGGGGCAGCATATTTAATATATCAATATAATAAACCTTATAGTACCTTGAAAGTAATGAAAAGATAGAAGAAACAGTGAAAATAAATTAAATGGTACCTCAATTAATTTTAAAACCTACACGCCACTGGCGATAACGCATTATCGGTTTTGCAGATAATTGTGCGGTGAAAATCGGGCTGCCCTGTGACTTGTTTGATTACTCCCTACCTTCATTGGATAGATTAAATTAGGCTGGAACCCTATTTTGTTTTTAAAATAATGGCATCGATTACGTTGCGGTCGTATTTTGACAAGTATTCATAAACGTAATACTTTTGTCATTGTGAAAGTTTCTTTAATCAATAATGAAAAGAAAATATACCAAAATTTACAAATTCCGAGTTAGCAGATATGCATTTCACCTATGGACTTGCTGACGGGAATTCGATTATGGCTAGAGGGTTATATCAAGAGCGGTTTCCAAATCATATGATTCCCGATGCCAGAATGTTTTCTAGAATGCACAGATGACTACATGAAACTGGGAGTCTTAGCATTGCCAATAGTTCCAAAGGGGCACATCGCACGGTGAGAGCATCAGAATTAGAGGAAGCTGTTGTAAACACAATTGGGGAACATCCAGAAAGAAGTACTACGAAAATTGCGGTAATGCTTAATGTTTGACATTTTCGTATTTGGAAAATACTCGTACTTGCTGATAATTTACTATGATGATTTTACATTGGGTTTAAATTTCTGCCGATGGTTTTTAGAAAAACATGCTGCAAACCCTTTATATGATATCAGAATACATACTCTTTACTGATGAAGCTACTTTTTCCCGCAATTCCATTCGAAATTTCCATAATAATCATGTAAGAAACCTCATACGCATCTACGGAGGAACAGCATCAGGAGCAGTTTTCCGTGAATGTGTGGGCTGGAATAGTTGGAGATTTCCTCATAGGACGGTTGTGCTTTTCAGTACGACTGGATAGACTCTTATTGTCACTTTCTTGAAAACGATTTGCAAATTTTGCTCGAGGACGTACCTCTTTTATTAAGAAAATAAATGTGGTACATGCACATTTTAACATTCATGCTAGGGAATTTTTAAATTAAGCGTTTACGAATCGCTGGATAGGATGTGGGGGAACTCAACCTTGGCCTCCCCGGTCCAGTGATTTAAATAGTTTAGCCTATTTTTTGTGGGGGCATCTCAAGACTTTATACTACACTGTAGAGGAACTAAGGCAGAAAATTTTACTTCCTTGCCAAACCATAAAAAATTCTCCTGGAATGTTTGGAAAGGTTTTTCAACAATTCTTCTGATAATTAAATTGAATAGTATTAGTTCATTTGATCCACAAAAATTGTCAAAACTTGTTGCAAACTAGTTTTTTTTTAATTTTCATGCATTGAAAAATCACTAAAATCTCATATGGTAGTTTGAAGGTAAGATGTGTTTTCGTTTAATTTTTACTCAAGTAAAGTCAATTGATTAAAATAGCCAAAAAGGTTTTTATTGTTTAAGCGAAAACGGTGCATCGGACGGAAAAAGGACAAGAGGTCAAATTTGTTGCAAAATAAATGAGGATTTCAAAACTCATTTTTATTTTCAGAACAAGCAATGACGTACCATATTTTTTTTTAATCTCCGGTATACATCCCGTACAGACGCCACTGCTAGAAATATTGAAAAATATTCTACATCAAAAAATAACTATTGGTGCTTATTAGGTGCGTGTCAAATTTTTATGAAAATATCTAGAACAGGATTAGAGTTATGATAAGAAAAAATGTTTTTCTCAAAATTTTAACACCCTGTAGCTCAAAAGTTAAGAGGTTTAGGACATGTTTAAACATCCATATTAACTTTTCTTCCTAAAATGTAATCATATCCTGTATTTTAAGCCATAAAATAAATTACACCCTGTAATTCTGACTACTAATAAATCAAACTTTGAACTAACCTGGCCCTGTCCTCTCTTTTGTCACTTTTTCTATCATCTTTCAAAGGACTTTTATGATCTCTCCTGCTAGTGCTGCCTCCCTTATTTCTGCTAGGAGAATTCTTTCTATCCCTTGAATGTACAGAATCAGGGGTGTCTCGTCTTTTGATATCCTTCAGCGAACGGCTTGAATCACGTTTTGGAGACCTACACAGTAAAAATTGTAATAAACAATAATGTACGCGCAAATTTAGGATTAGGATATAGTCTAATCATATTAGTTTGGCACATGTGCGAATCAGAATTTTTAGACCTTGAAAATGTTTCGCCCGAAAACTAATCACTGCGCCAAATAGCCAATGCCCAATCTTTATCTGGTGGACAAAGCTATAAAAAAAGACACTGTAAAACCAAGTGTGGAAGTAGAAAGTGTCTTCATAAAGCTGCTGGTATTTTGTGTAACTCTAAATGTGATTCAAGTTTAAGTTGTTCAAATATGTAGTCCAAGTTTTTTTCATATCATTGGGTATGTTAACCATCTACTTTTTGTTACTTACTTGATCTAATAAATTTTTCAATAATTTGTGTTAATTGCCATACCTGCACGAAATACTGAAAAATTCAGTTACAGTTACGGATTTTTTTTTAAATTGTTCTATTGTTTATACCCGCATGAAATATTTGAAATTGTGAAGTTCAGTTACAGTTACAAATAAAAATGTTTTTAATTGTTACAGTTGTGAAAAAAATGTTACTAGAATAATTTTTTTTATTGCGGTTATTGACCTGTGATGACAATGCCAAGGTAAATATACTAAGTGACATATAAATCCGAACACCCAGTTTAAATGGTTTTATTTTAATAAAAGTTGGTGAATGTATTTATCTTATTGTAAATAATAAGTGAAAAAATTTTCAGCCTTATCAGTTGGACATTCCGGTTTTTATACTGCTTTTTTTAATTCATTAACGCTCTAAAAATGAATATTTCAGCCGCAGTAAAGAATCAACGTTGGCGGATTTTGGTTCTTGACATCCTTTACGATCGGTTACGATGCCTAGAGTACGGAGACCTGTACGATTTCGTCAACTTAGTGAGTTTGATAGGGGCCGTATAGTGGGACTTCGGGAAGCTGGACTTTCTTTTCGGGCAATTGCAGTTAGAGTGCAAAAAAGTAGTAGACACTGTGGTTAGGTGTTGTCAGGCATGGCTTCGAGAAGGCCGTACGCAAAGAGCAAGGGGCACTGGACGCCGCCGTAGAACAACAGACCGTAAAGATCGCCGCCTAAGATTATTGGCCTTAAGGGACCGTTTCTCCACTACCAGGTCGATTGCAAATGCAGGAATGGAACAGTATTGTCTTTAGTGACGAGTCTCGATTTTGTTTAGGCATGCACGATGGTCGTGCCAGGGTTAGAAGGCGACGTGGTGAAAGGAGGAATCCACAGTTTTTTGTTGAAAGACATTTTCATCACACTGTTGGAGTTATGGTTTGGGGTGCTATAGCTTATGGTTCCAGGTCACCTTTAATCTTCATCAGAGGTAACATGAACGCGCAGCGTTATATCCACGAAGTTCTAGAACCCCATCTTTTACCCTATCTTGACACCCTGGCAGATCCAACTTTCCAACAAGATAATGCCCGACCACATGTTGCAAGAGTCACAATAGACTTCTTTCAACATAATGATGTCACATTGTTACCATGGCCACCAAGATCTCCCGACTTATCCCAAATTGAGCACGTGTGGGATATGATGGGTAGGAGATTGCTCAATTTGCAACGTCCTCCTCAGACTCTAGAAGCACTTCGAGAGGAGTTGGTGGTTGCCTGGAATGAGATACCACAGGAGGACATTGACCACCTGATCAGAAGCATGCCTAGGCGCGTTGGAGAATGCGTAGCACATCAGGGTGCATCCACACATTATTAAAGGTCAAAGGGCTTTAAATCATTTTGAAATTTTTATCATTTACTTATTATGCTTCATTAAGTACTTATACAAAATTTTATTAAAATAAAACCATTTAAACTGGGTGTTCGGATTTATATGTCACTTAGTATAATATGAAAATGATGACATTATATTTTCTTTAAAAATACCCGTATAAACCTGCTTGTAACGTTCACAACCCATAAGGTTTGGCTAGACCTAGGTGTAGCCGCATTTCGGGTTTTAGCCGTAACATACGTGTTTATAAAATCTTTTAGCCAAGTTTTTAAATCAAAATAAAGGTCTATGGAATTTTCCATCCTATTATCTTTCTTTAAAACCTTATCTTCTTGAGCCAAAATCGTTTTATACAGATAATTGAAACCTACACTTCACTTACCTAACAAGCGACTCTTTCTTCTTCTCTCGTTCTTTTTCTCTTTCCCTTTCTTTCACACGTTCTCTCTCTTTAGCACGTTCTCGTTCCTTTTCTCTCTCACGCTCTTTTTCTCTTTCACGCTCTCGTTCTTTTTCTCGTTCTCTTTCTTTTTCCCTTTCTCTGTCCTTACTTATTTTTGGAGACGGCGTTCGATGTCTTTCCTTATTGCTGCTAGACCTAGACGGTATAGGCTTAGAAGTGATTGGAACTATTGATAGCTACTACGCAAGCCTATTCGATAATGTTGAAGTTTGCATGGAAGAAGCTACAGTTAAGACAACAATTTATGAAAGGAAAAATCCAACACATTGGTTCTGACAGACGTTCCAGGGTTCTAAATTAAAAAGCGACTAGAATTATAATTCTGATTATTGGGAGTGAAAATGATTGGCTAGATTACACAAGATCAAGAAACCAATCTTTAGAAGCTCTACTAGATGAAAAGAAAAAATATTACTATCCCTAAATTGATGACAAAAATAAATAATAGCAAACGGATGTGGAAAACGTTGAAAAATATTGTAGAAGAAATACATTATCTAAAATGAAGTTCGACGTTGGGGTAATGACAAATGCAAAAATAATAGAACATCAAATGAATACCTATTTCACAGAAAGTGTCAACAATACTGTAAGATGTCCCATTAGATCAGATTATATGTATTGCATCATTTAGTGAGTTTCAAGAAGTCTCAAGGAAATTATATCAAAATTGAAATCAAATCAAAATAAGAGTGAACTTTGGTCTAAAAGGGTACTAAATTAATGTTTTGATTTTATTGGAGCAAGAATATTAATCCTGCTGAATTACTTTATGGCGAATTTCTAACAAAACTGAAATGTTCTACCTTAACTCCTGTTTCGAAAGTTAAGAATCTGAGTTGTAAATCAATATGCGACCAAAAAATGTTCTGCCAGATGTTGAAAAAGTCGAGGAGCAGATCATCGAATTTATTGAGAGAAATAAAATTTTAACCAAATTTCAAGCTGAATTCAGGAAGAAACACTCAACTGAAGCGGCAATACAAATGGTTTTAGGGGACTGGAGGAGATGTATGGACAATAGAAAACATACAGTGACAGTGTTTTTGGACCTCAAAAGGGCACTTGACACTAATGACAGGGATACATTGCTTACAAAATTGCATCACTATGGATTTAAAGGATCTGTATTCAAAATTCTACAAAAGTACTTAACTGACAGAAGTCAAAAAAACAAAATTGGATCTATACTATCAAGTGTAAAAAATATTTCTGTTAGTATACAAGATAGTAAACTACTATTTATCCTATATATCAATGGCTAAATTGCGGTGGTTGAATATAAAAAATTTCATATCATATTTGGTCTTATTTTTATATTTAAAATAAAAAATCATCTTTTGCCATAACATTTAGAATACTACATAGAATTGAATAATAAAAATAATTTCATTAACAAAATTGCAATAGTAGTATAACTAGCAAATCAATATTTCAGAAAGGATTACTTGAATTTAATAAATGATTTGCCAATTTTGCTCGAGGATGTACCTCTTTTATTAAGAGAAGAAATGTGGTACACGCATGATGGTGCTCCTGCACATATTAGCATTCATGCTAGGGAATTTCTAAATGAAGCGTTTACGAATGGCCGGATAGGACGTGGGTGAACTCAATCTTGGCCTCCCAGGTCCCCTGATTCAAATAGCTTAGACAATTTTTTGTAGAGGCACCTCCTGTTTAATTTTCATTCAAGTAAAGTCAAAATGGTTTTTTATTGTTTACGCATTGGACGGAAAAAATTAAGGGATCAAATTTGCTGCAAAATAAATGAGGATTTCAAAAATGATTTTTATTTTCGTAAAAAGCAATGGCGCACCATTTTTTTGCGTATGAACGCCACTGGTAGAAATATTAAATATTCTACATCAAAAAATGCCTATTACTCAGTAGGTGCATGTCAAATTTCATTAAAATATCTAGAACAGTATCCAAGTTATGACAAGAAAACGTATTTTTTATTAAATTTTTTACACGCTCAAAAGTTAGGAGGCTTAGGACATATGTTTGTTCATATAAACTTAACTTCCTAAAATGAGCTAAGGAATCATATCCTGTATTTATAGCCCTCAATTAAATCACACCATGGGGCTTCATACTTCCGGTTGGTATGAAATGTATTTGTTAAAATTATTAGTGCAGCTTTTAATAATCTTTTTTCAATTTTTAATTGAGTATAGTCCCGCCAGGAATTTTTTAGCCAAACCACTCGCGATATATTTTTTAACAATTTAAATACTTAAAATACTTTTCATCCATTCAACAGGTGGGTGAAGGTCACTTCTAATTCGGATCTCAGACTTAGATAATGAGATATAGAAATAAATAAAATAATACACCTTTCAAATATGCTTGAGCCTAAACTCGTAATTATATTACGATGCTAGCCATGTGATAACAATACCTGCTGTGTGGCCTAGGCGTCTTATCTCCACCCGTCGGAACACCCATCCTCTTCGCTTTATTTTTCGATTTAAGCGCGGTCTGCGGTGGAGTCTCGGACTTCTTTCGGCTGGCTGGTAGAGGCGACGGCGACTTGCAGCACTTCCCTCCGCTCGGAGCAGATTTGCCAGACTTCTTGGCGCTGCTTGAAGACTTGTCGCGCTGTGATGACTTTGAAGTGCGCTTAGATTTGCCCGTCTTATGCTTTGATCTGGAGCGGCGATCGTCTGAAGACGTCGAAGATTGACGTTGTTGCTGTTTACTCAATTTTGTCTTCTTCACCTTCTTGCGTCTGCAATGGGTAAGCTTTGTTTGTTGAAGATCTATTTAACATTAACGTCAATGTCAATTTTGTATAATTATTCCTTTACACTTTTATTTGAATCGGTTTTCTGTAATTTTACATTCTTGTCTATTCAAATTACATCACTATGCTTTTTAGTATTCATAAAGTGATTTTTTAATTTCACATTAAACATTTTTAAATTCGAACACTGTTTAATATTATTAATCAAATCATTAATTCAAATACTTCCTTTTTAAATTCAGATTTTCTAGTTATGATATTATTACAATTTTGCAGATGAAAATCTATACTGCATCTAGTTTCGTAGATATGGTAATGGCTATTTAATTTTATGAAGTTTTCGAAATGTGGTGGTGATAATGACTTTTTAATTTGAATATGAAAATGAGAACTAAAGAATATATAATTTTTTTTACATTCAATCACTGTAGTTCTAAGATAGACTTATCTTGTCATGTTTGTCTTTATTTAAAATGATTTTATACACAATTTTTTGAAATACATACTGATACTGTTGAAGTAATGATCTTGAAACAGTAGTTTAATACTACCCACATACAGCGAGACACAAAGGTCCCGGAACGACTCTGTATTTTCTCGGGCAAGGTATTTTTGAAAAAGATCAAGGTCATTTCTTCAGTTACTTTCAGCAAGGTATTCAACGATGAGCTTGAATTTGACCTTCACTTTCAGGGTTAATTTACGGTCAACTTTATTTTTTGAAATATGAACCTCTAATTTTGATGCCGGCAATCGAAAGAACAGACAATTTTATTTTCAAACACAATTAAAGTCCAAGGTCAGGATGACTACTCAAGGTAGTAGTAGTATTTATTGACCATGTTAATACATAAGTATATATGGCAGGTCAATACAAAGAAAAAATAAATAAGCAAATAAATAAACAAATAAAAGATCACAGCAAAAAACTTATAGATAGAAAGTACCTTCCAACATGCTACGACATGCACAAATATTAGATAACTCATATATAATAATATTATTTGTACTTGTGATCTAAAAATTCCCCAATCGTATAAAACCCTTCTCCTGATAAAAACGATTTCACTTCATATTTATAATTTTTTAAATGTTCTTATTTTTTTAAAATGCTGAGGCAGCTTATTATAAAACATTACATAGTTGTAATGAGGTGAGCGCTTGAAGTGACTGGTGTTGTGTTTGAGGACAGTTAATGCCGCACTGTTTATGGTACTATATGTGTGGTACTGCCCTAGACTCTCGAACTGGTACAAGTTTGCCAAACGTATAAAATACACTTAAAAATGTAAACACAAGGTACATTTAAAATTCATTTAGATTTATATAATAGACCTTTTTGTCCTTCAAATACTCTGTCTTTGTCAACACTGTTGCCCCATATTATAGCTTAAGTATGTGTAGTAGTAGTAGATGAAATATTTATTTAGCACGTTTGGCTACATGAACAGAATAATTGTAAACAACTTAGAATTAGTAAATTTAAACTATATTATATAAATGCAGGGCAAGCTATAATTGTAGATATAACAAGTGATTCCTCAATTTTACTTTGAATTTTGTCAAAGTTTTCTAGTCTTTATCTCTGTATATAATTTATTATATTCAATCTACCCTTGACGGAATACAGATTTGTAGCATATGTTATACATTATGGTCATTAAATGGACGGCATCTTTATTTCTGGTATTATGTAAATAATGGTCGACATTTGATGATGTTACATTAGTTAAACTTGGTTGAAATATATTATTATTTACTTTATAAATGAATATCATTACAAGATATTAGATAAAAATTGTTGCATTGAGCCATTTTAATTTACTAAGCGTTTGTCTAATTGGAGTATATTTATCTTTATTCAGTATTATTCTCGTAAAATTTGAAGTCTTTCAAAAATGGAATTATTTGCTAAATATAGAATAGTCGAACAGTACAAGAAATTTGGAAGAATGATGATATTATAGATAATTTTTCTGCTATATGAACTCAGACATCCAGAAACTCCTGATAAATATCCCACTGTACTACGAATCTTATTTATAACTTTTTCATAATGAACATCAAAAATTAATCGAGAGTCAACGAAAACCCCAAGGTATTTAAAATTTTCTATGAATTCAATATCTTCACCACCAATATTTAGTTGAACACTTGTACATTGTTTTTTTTTTCGATTAACATTGCTTTTGTTTTACTTGTATTTAATTTGAGTCTGTTAGATGCTAACCATTTTGAAACAAGTGTCAAGCCTTCATTTATATAAGAGATACCAGACTGAATATTTTTAGTACTTATATAAATCAAAGTGTCATGTGGAACACCCAACGTATTTTCAGTTTTTGATGAAATAGTGTCATTAACTTTTTAACTTGCATCCTTTTAGACAAATATTTTTTAAACCAATCTGAAACGCTTCCTGATATACCTTATGCCTTCAATTTACCTAACAAAATATCTCTATCAATCGTTTCCAATGCCCTCTTCAAATCAAAAAATTCTGCTATGACAAGTTCTTCTGAGTCTACGGTTCTTCTCCAATTCTCAGTAACCAACTGGAAAGCCGTTTCTGTGGAATATTTTTTGCGAAAGCCTGCTTGGGCCTCCACTAAAATTTTGTTTTCTTCTATAAACTGAATTAATTGGTCATGCACTACGGACCCCAATAATTTTTCAATATCTGGTAACACATTTACTGGTGTCTCATATTGCTGCATCTTTTAGAATTTTTTATTTTGAGAACTGATGTTATTGTAGAGCATTTCAAATTTTCAGGAAAAGAACTGCTTCTCAGTGAACAATTGATCCAATTTAATACAGGATATCCCAAAATTCCTAAACAGTTTTTCAGCACGTGCTTAGTATAGTGATTTCGGTACTGTTGGATTTTAAACTGTTTTTTTTTTCAACACTTCCCTCAGGAGTATGTGAGTATGCTAATGCATAATATACCGACATCAGTAGTTTCTTGTCTAAGGTGTCTTTTAGTTGTAATAAGGCGTAGAATGAATTAATAAGTTTTTGGTACAGTTTCGATATGGTCAGAAAAATTTAGTTTCGATTGCCGGCATCATAAATAGGGGTTTCTACTTGAGAAAATGAAGTTGACTGTAAATTTACCTTGAAGGTGAAGGTCAAGGTCAAATTGAAGGTCACCGTCAGCGATACAGAGCCGTTCCGGGACTTTTGTGTCAGGTTGTATATACTCTGCGCGTCAAAGGAGGATACATGGTTTCTGGTACCAACTAATTGCAATACATAATAAACTGGCCTATTTACGTAATTAAGAAAATGTCGCTTAGAAAGTTTCGAAATTCAAAGTACTTCTGGAGAGAGATGGAAAAAACGAATTTTCCCAAAATAGTTTTAATTGTTTCCTGACTTTATTGTTGGTGGGATTTCAAAACAAATTGCGCATTAACAATGCCACTTTTTCTCTTCTACAAGATGACAACTAGAATTTAATATGACATTTCGACTCTTGTCCTCCAGCATCAACTCTTTTTTTATTATGGATGCCATATTGGATTTTTGCACAGATGAAGAGTTTTTAATTCTGACTCCAAACATGTCGTACATTGACGTTGCCCAACCTTAGTTATTTCCAAAAAAGCAGAATTTCCTGTGGACATGTAATCGACCTTTTCAGTCCTGAATTCAATGATGTCCTTAGTTAGTCATGAATTGTTTATTGGATGAAAATTATAAGTAAATAAAAAGGTATGGTAAAACCTGAACAAAACGAAAATTTTATTGTAATAAATGTAAATAAGCATAACACTGGCAATTTGCTCATGTCCAACTCGTTCCAGTAAGGCTCTAAGCTTGCTCCAGATCTTTCGCGTCTCTTCCAGATATCTTACGAATCCCGCTATCACAGAAAACTGGAAATTTGCTTCCCACATATTGTCGGGAACCCTTTGAATCGACGGCCGTTTGGCGTTGGGGGCGATGTCCACGCCGGAGTTGGCAGCAAAGACCTTGGCAAGAACTTCCGTCTTAGCCTTTAGGTCGGTTACAATCGTTCCATCCTGACACGTAAGTGGTGGAAGGCTACTCTGTGAGAAGTCCCTTTCAATCTGCTTGGGCTGCGTCCAGAAAGCCCGACTGCCATTGTCTGCGACATTACCCAGTGCCTAACTTTTATATCGTGCTGGTCGGCTTGTTTGTTCTCTACAGTGGGGTTTTGCAAGAAGGTTCTGTGTGCCTTGATCTTCTGCTGGCGAGCAGTGTCACACGATTTGTTGAACCAGCCGTTGGACCCTGGTTTAGGAACTTTCACTGTATGAGGGATGTATTCCTCCATCCCGACCTGGATAATGTCGGTTATCGAAGAACAGATAGCAGTCGCATCCGCGCCAGCGAAATAAATATCTCTCCAAGGAAAGGTAGAGAAGAAGTCTCTAAGCCGCTCCCAGTCGGCGTGTCCGTAATGCCAAATTTTGCGGCATAGGCGAGTTTCTGTTGTCACAGCGGGTTTTGACCGAAACCTACCCTCCACAACACTGTGGTCTGAGTTACCCAGGGGGACAGGACAGCAGTGCTGTAACTGACAAGATGCTTGGTTAGAAAGAGATCCAGCAAGAGGGGGAGGAAATCTTACTTCTGCCTAAAAAAACATAAAGAAAATAAGTTACAACAATATTACCTAGCTTCTACACTTGAACTGCTAGAGCTCGATTCGCCACTACTGCTGCTCGAATCCGAAGTCGAGGTACTACTCACTGTCGAAGAGCTGCTTTCCTTCTTCGGCTTTTTCCCTTTCTTCTTAGCCTTGCTTTCCATTTTCATCTATAAAGATAGAAAAACATAGATTGTGAGGGTATATCCGATGCCCAATCTTGGTGTATCTACATTTATGTGAGCGACAGTTTAAGATGAGATACAAAAAACAACAATACGAGGTGTTCCGAAGCGGTTACCCATCCAAATACGGGGGCAGTTCAATAAGGACCCGTGTTAGAAATGAAGATACCATTTTTTTTCAAAAAAATGTTTTTTAACACTTTTAAAAAGACACTTTTCCCAACGTTCCTGCCATTTTTAACCCCTCCAAATAAAAAGTTTTGTCGAACTCTCCAAATGCGCCTATGTCTTTTGATGACTCCCTCGTTTGAGCTAAATTTTCTCTCTCGAGCCATTTCTTCACGTTAGGGAACAAGAAAAACTAGCAGGGGCCCAGATCCGGTGCGGCAGCACTTCATAACGCAATTCATGCAGTTTGGCGGCGACAACTACGAGAATGTGCTGGTGCGTTATCGTGGTGAAACAGCACCTTCTTTTTCGCCAAATGTCGCCGTGTTTCTTTCAATTTTTTTGTCGAAGCGGTCCAAAGGCATATTCATACTCAGCCGTCACGTGACAGTGATGTGGCCGGCACGTGCTCCGCCCGGCGAAACTAAAAACATTCTTCCTGGAGTTTGGATGAACTGATTCACACTAGACAGGCACGTGGAAGTGGCCGTGTTCTCAGTGCCCTCGCCGACGCCGTACCGTGTCCATCGCATTGTTTTTAACGTTATTTTTCGGCCGTGTTTTTATGTAATTTGGTGAATATTTTGATATACTCGTAATTGGTCAAAAACATGAATGATGAAAAACTAATTGAATATGTACGCGTACATCCCGTGCTGTAGAACCAGGCAAATTCAAAATACAAGGACTTCCGTTTTCTTCTCGTGTCTTCTTCTTTATCTTTCGTAGGTGGTAGACGGTCTCTGCATGCATACATGTTCCCTCGCCAGAGTCCGTGTGGCGCCCCCCTTTCCTCTGTGTTTCCCCCTATAGCACAACAACGGTACCCCATGGGTGTTTAGGGTTTAGGCCTTCGTGGTAGTTGGAATATAAAAAAAAATCCAGAATCAATGCAATAATTGCAAGTTCATCCTCTGAAAATTTTGTCATCTCGACCTCACGTGAACACAACTGCACTGTCAGAGCATGGAGAAAAATACTGACCGGTGTGAATTGAAAACACTGTCATCTCACGTCAGCGAGAATCACTGGCACGTCACAGCCCTGTCACGTCACGGCTGAGTGTGGGTAGACCTTCCTTGAGGATGACGCCGTTCGCATCCTAAAAAATCGTCGCCATGACCTTTCCGGCCGAAGGGACAGTCTTCGCCTTCTTTGGGGCAGATTCACCGGGAGAAATCCATTGTTTTGAATGTTACTTAGTTTCTGGTGTGTAATGATGAATCCGGGTTTCATCAACGGTGACAACTCGACGCAAAAACTCCTTCGGATTTCACTTAAATTGCTCCAAACGCTGCTTCGAAGTTAACAGCCGCATCCGCTTGTTGTCTATCGTGAGCAATCGCGGCACCCATCGGACCGAACATTTTTTCATCTCCAACTTATCATGTAAAATATTCTTTGCCGTTCCGATCGACACACCTACGACCTCTGCTTGACGTTGAATGCTTTCCTCGGTAACGAATATCTAACTGTGGTCATAATTGGCTAAGTGTCCCCATAAACATAATCCAACTTTGTTGTTATCTCCTCGCATTTTCCCCATCCAAAAACAAACAGCGAATTACCGAACGATACTGCTCTTTTTCCATCTTAGCGATGAACACGAAACACGTGTTACCCGAATGGCTGCTAAGTCCAAACTAACCTATCAACCAGTATGAAATTTGTTGTGCCGTCGTTTGATAGATGACAGCACACGATGATAACACTAACTTCCGTCAGGAACGTCCTCTGTCGTCAAATACGGGTACTTATTGAACAAGCCTCGTACTAACCGCGCCTGAGACTGCTTAACTCAGGCGATAGGATGAAAGATTTGAGAGGCGACGCTTTCACTGACATTATTCTTGTGTAAAATAGACTAATGTACATTTACTTTGAAACATGGAAAATTTTACCCAAAGTCAAATCTCGATATCGAGTTGAGGTATTCCGTATTCGGGAGGTTCTTGACCAACTTTTTGAGAACACGTACAGGTTTCGACCGGTATACTTCTTTGTTTATCCACTTATACAAGGTGAGCAAAGGTAGTCATGTTATTTTGGCAAAGTTTGGGACTGTCAGATTCTCAATATTTGATGTGGAAAATTTTTCTATGCATATTTTTGATCTTTGGGCTGTCAAATTTTTCGAAAGTTGGCTATAACTCAAATTATCGAATTTTCAACTTCCCGCAATAAATGTCTTTCGGCGCGACCTCGTATTTTTGTTATCATCCTCTCCATGCAAATAGGACGTTTCTCCGGTTTCATCCTAACTACCTAAACTTTAAACATGCAATTGCTAAGTAACAATAATGTTGACTGTGGACTTGACAGTATAATTTTATTTTCTCAAAAATGCCTCCTCTTTTTCAAAAAGAGCGAGAGAATTGTATAAGATTATTAGGAGAAGGTGGTTTAGTGGATGATATAGCTTTAATTTATAATGTTGATCGGTCTTCAATATACCGTTTACGGCATATACAGTAATGGACAAAAGTATATAGACAAATTAATATTGTACTGTATTTCTTTTTTAACTTGTTTTTTTAATACACCAATATGTATACATAATTCGTTATAGCATAATACGCACTTATACATAAATAAATTGATTAGACACTCCCTTCAATAAAAAATTAATTGAAAAAACTGGAACTATGAAGGACAAAAATACATAGAAAAAGCAAAACAATTATAAAAAAAAAGAAACAAATTTCATTGAATTACAGAAAACCAACAATGTTTGTGTTAATATTGTGTAGCATAATCATTATTATCAATCACCGCCTGGCATCGTCACGGCATAGATTGTAGAAGTTTCTTGATATAAGTTCATCCTTGTTAGAATAAATTTTATCTGTATTTGCTTATCTAAGTATTCCCATAGATTTTCAATAGGGTTTACATCGGGAGACTGTGGAGGCCATTTGAGAACAGGTATTTTTTCATCCAGAAAGAATTTCTTTGCGAGATTTGAAGTGTGCTTCGGGTCATGATCTTGCTGGAAGATTGATCTTAAGGGCATACTGTTTTCCATATAGGGTATACGGTAACATGACATGCTTTAGTATGTCTGTGTATACAAACGTATCCATAATGCCATCTATTCTATGTAAAGGTCCCATCCCAAACCCCAAAAAGCACCCCCAAACCATAACAGACCCGCCTCCATGTTTGACAGTGGACAAAGTGTACTTGGGTTTCAATCTTTGTCCACTAGGACGTCTAACGTAATGAACACCATCTGATCCAAACATATTGAACTTGGACTCGTCACTGAAACATACCCTCTTCCAGTCACAGATTAGCGGCTTCTAACTCAGGCGACGTGCAAATAACTTCAATCATTTAATCTTCTAGTTATAGTTTTCGTAGAAACACTGACAATTCCTTTTGTCTGGATTTCTGCTTTTATTTGTCTTTTAAACGGATCTTTGGACGAAATTACGTTTATTAATCTAACTGATCTAGCATTTAGTTTTCTAGGCCGACCACTCTTGGAGACTTCCAAGATACCTTTTCGTTTATATTTGTTCAATATTGCCCAAACTGCTTGACGCTTCAGCTTCAAATTTTGGGCACTGTCGACTTCACGTTGAGCATCTTTGTATAACTCAATGATCTTAGTTTTCACATCGAAAGAAATTTCTGGACCACGCGGCATGGTCTTAAAATCACTCAACTTATGCCACAATACTTGATAAACACAAATTAATCCTCTTCTGACACGAAACTGTACTAAACTAATGTTGAAAAGAATTTGTCGACATATTTTTGTCCCTCATAAAAAAGTGCTTATATTCATACTTGTATTGTGTTCATTGCAGATAATGTAAAAACAAGGAATTTAGTTTTTCTACTAATAACGCATTTGTTTATGGAGCAATGAAGTATGAATTCGTTTTCTAAAGGTATTCAGGTAAATATTCATATTTGTCTATATACTTTTGTCCATTACTGTATATCAGGATACCGGTGAAACGTCTTACTTGCATGGAGGAGGTAATTTAAAAAAAAATACGAGAAAGACATTTATTGCGGGAAGTTAAAAATTCGATAATTTGAGTTATAGCCAACTTTCGAAAAATTTCCGATATCACTTGTTTAGGATAGTCCAAAGATGCATAGAAAAATTTCCATGATCAAATATTGAGAATCTGACTAGCCCCAAACTTTGCTACAAAAACATGACTTCCTCTGCTCACCCTGTATAAGTGGATAAACAAAAGAAATATACCTGTCTAACCCTATACGTGTTCTCAAAGAAGAACACCGCAACTCGATTTCTCTTTCCGTTCCGAAAATATCGAGAATTGAATTTGGATAAAATTTACCATGTTGCAAAGCAACTGTCCACCAGTTTAGTTCGTTTGCGACATAGTTCGTTTTAGTAGCGTGACCTAGTTAACTAGTACATTGAAATACACCAGAAAGCATATTACTAGTGACTACTCTTACCTGTAATTCAAGTTCTCGTTGTAGCTCTTGTCTACGCTTTTCGAGATCATCGGCATCTGCATCTTCTAAATCCTCAGGATCCCAACACCTGTCCCAGTCCGCGCCACTGCCGCTACCTGAAGACCGCACTGCTGACACTGCCGCCAATTTTGCATGCCTGCCGCTATAAAACAATAATTGTATCACTGTTTGACCCTTTGCGACCTACTATTTTTCTGGGATGACCACCAGTTCAGAGTCAACTTACTTGGACCCCTATGGTAATATGCCAGAGCCACTCGTTAAAATTGGAGGCTTGGAAGATACAAGGTGGGACAGGACCCTAAGTGCCGTATCGTCAGTCGACGCCTTTATGGCCTCCTTGATTTTCAGTCTTTTCTAACCTTCAGGCTGGGGTATTTCTAGATTTCTACAGTTATTGGTGAGAAAATTCGGTTACTGATAATTAAATTTTTTAATTCTGGGAAACCAAACTCAGAAATTGCAACTTTGTTAGACTTACCGCGGTACAGTGTGAGAAATATTGTTAGAAGATATAACGTAACTAGTTCAGTTAATATTAAGCCACGATATGTGAAAAAAAGTAATATCACAAATGCCGACCGAAGAGCATTAACAAGAATAATCGTGAAAAACAGGCGTGCCAATAATTTACAATTAAGTGCTCTGTGGTGTGACGCTGTTGGAAGGAGAATTTCGAGGTCCACAACTCATAGAGAGGCCCACAAACTGGAATTTAGCACTTGCAAGGTAAGTTTTCTTATAAAAAAAGTGAAGTAAAAACCCTAAAGGTGCACAACTTGTTTATAGGCCAAAGAAAATCCACTATTAACTCCACTGCAAAAGAAAAATCGGCTTAGATGGGCTAAAGATCATAGACAATGGACACCTCAACAATGGTGTGCAATACAATGGAGTGATGAGGCCCGATTCGAAGTTTGTGTAGGTGACAGTCACAGTAGTTATTCGCAAAAAAAATGAAGCATTCCATGTTGACTGTCTGAAGAGAAAAGTGAAATTTCCAGCATCCATTATGGTCTGGGGTAGTCTGTCATGAGTAGGAAAACTTCATTTTATTGATGGAAATGTGGATACAAACAAATATTTGACAATTTTAGAAGAATCACTTTTACCAGTGATGGAAGAATGTTTGACATCCGGCCAAGATTTTGTGTTTCAGCAAGATGGTGCAGCGTGCCATACCTCAAAAAAGGCTATAAAATGGATGGAAGAAAATAATGTACCACTTTTGAAATGGGTTTCTAGCATTCCAGATCTGTCACCTATTGAAACTTTGTGGCACGAGATGAAAAAGGTTCTACGACAACATCCTGCTCGTACAATCACCGAACTGAGACAAAAGCTTCAAGAAATATGGGATTGTTTTACACAAAATTTTTGCCAAAACTTGGTTAACACTATACCCCAAAGAATTTCAGCCATAATAAAAAATAAAGGTGATGTTACCCAATGGTAATCTTTCAATTGTTGCTTTGTTAACTTCGCACATTTATTCGCACATTGTTTATTTGTTCAGATGTTCTATTAGTTATAGGTCTAAGTGATTTCAAATATGTATCTTTTTCGACTAGAGTGTAGAGAAAATAAATTGTTTTAGAAGTAAATAGTTTCGTCATGTTTAGTTTATAAAGGGATATTTTGGTATACATCTTGAAGTGGGCCAACTGAAGTGGGAAGGGGCTCGTATGTGCTTAGTCTTCTAAATGTTGTGGCAAAAGGTGATTTTTTATTTTAAATATAAAAATAAGAACCAAATATGATATGATTTTTTTTATATTCAACCACTGCAATTCTTAACATAAATTTTATTTTCGTGTTCTTATTTTTAATCAATATTATTCTCATAGATTTATTTTGCAGAACTTCATTGGCAGTAAACAAGATAGTTGAACAATATAGTACATGCAGTCGAATAATTGTATTATAAACTATTTTTCGGAATATGTACTAAGACTATGAGAAGCCCTATAAAAGTAACTTGTCTTTTTGGCAATTTTTGAAATTATGTATTCATAGTGATCCTCAAACATTAGTTTACTATCTTATGGTGACAAACAGCAATTACAGGCCAAAAAATATTCTAACAATATAAATATTCAAGGATTTTTATCGCACAGGGATGAAGTTATAAATTTTTTAATATTAGTGAAACCATTAGTTCTTTGCTTGCCTGAAACACATATTACAGAAGATACTGAAGATATGGAGATTGATATTCACCAATATGATGTTGTAAGAGTAAACACAGTTTCGAAACATACAGGTGGCATACTAATATACAAACTAAGTATGATTGAAATAAAAACACACGAGACTATAGTTGTTGATTATCAATGGTGGTATTTTAATTTTGAAATCAAGATAAAACAAAATTACAATGTACACGTTTACTACAGATCTCCAAGCTGTAATATTAGCCGACTTTTGGACTTTTTTGAGAGTGTTTGTGAAAAATAGTATTATCGAAATTGCTCGACTGTGCACTTGGGAGACTTCAATATAAATTTTGATAATCAAGATTTTTATGTAAAAAAATTTAAACAGGTATTGAACTTTCATGGTCTATGGCAAAAAGTTAATGACTACACAAGGATTACAAACTTTTCACGAACTAAGATCGATTTAATAATTACCAATGAACAGAATTTGAGTATTAAGGTTTTACATACTCCAAAAATAAGCGGCCATTCGTGGATATGTTTCGAGGTGGAAAATATGTTTCATAAGAGAGAATCAAGAAAAATCACAATTATTGACTTTGAAACGTTACGAGAATCACTCTTACAAGCCAATATCACTGAAATTTTTAATGATTACTTCTCAAAAATTATGGATTGTATGGAGAACTGCATGAGAGACGCACACATTAGGAAAGTGGTATATCAAAGGAAAAAGCCAACACTCTGGTTTTCACAAATATTTCTAGACTCTAAATTGACGCGTGATAATGACTATAAAATGTTTATGATCACTCAAACTGAAGAAGATTGGACACAATATAATAAATCAAGAAACAAGTGTTTAACAAATCTTTGGAACGAAAAGAAAAAATATTATGAAAACAAAATCGATAGCAATAAAAATAACAGTAAAATGATGACGACACTAAAAAATATTGTATCTGCCAGTAGGAAGAATGAATCATCAAGAATGTGCTTCGAAGATGGTATAGTAACACAAAAAATATTGATTACAGAACGAATGAACCCTTATTTTATAGAAAGTATAAATGAGATAGTAGAATCAATCGAAGATGGGGATCGAAATCTATGTCACATGCAAGTTACTTATACTTCTTCTATGAGACAATTCCAAACAATAAATATCAGCCATCTTTCAAAAGCTATTACAAGATTGAAATCGAATAGAAATCCTAGTGAACATCTTTCAAAAATGGTTATGAACGAATGTTTCAACATTATTGGAGAGAAGTTATTATTGTTACTGAATCACTGTTTAGTGTATGGTGAATTTCTTTCAAAATTAAAATGTTCTACAATTACTCCTGTTCCAAAAGTGCAAAATTCTGAGCTATTTATAAACAAGCGGCCAATTAATGTACCGCCAGATGTCGAGAAGCTCTTAGAAGGAATCATATATGAACAAGTCATTGAATATATTGAAGAAAATAAGATATTGACAAAATTTCAAGCAGCATTCAGAAAAAAGTATTCTACTGAAACAACAATTCAAATGGCAGTAGAAGAATGGAGGCGAAATATGGATGAAAAAAGTGTTCTTAGATTTCAAGAGAGCATTTGAGACTATTGACAAGGAGACATTGTTAACGAAATTGCATTGATATGGATTTCAAGGTTCAGTATTCAACTTATTACAAAATTATTTAATCAATAGAAGTCAAAGAACTAAAATTGACAATACATTATCAAACATTCAAAACATTTCGGGAGGTGTGCCACAGGGTAGCAAATTATTTCCATTATTTTTTACTTTGTTTTATATATTAACGATATTCCTGATATTTTACAACACTGCAAAATTCAACTATTTGCTAATGATACATTAATATATATTTATATATCAAATAAATGTAAATAAATTTAAACTAAACACCAACAAAACAAAATATATGCTAATAGGAAAATATTTACATCAAAATACGATAAATCTTACAATTAATCATGAAAAACTTGTGTCAAACGAATCATTTAAATATTTGGACATATACGTAGACAGTAAATTAAAATTTGAAGGGCACTATGAATATATTATTTCAAAAATATCCTCGAAAATAAATTACTTTTATAGAATTGCGCATATCCTATACTCTAGGCGCTGAAGAAAGAAACTAAACCCAAACAAATACACGCATATTGCTCGTGAGTGAGTGTTTAGGCGCAGGAGACATTACAGGACCGCATCAAGATATTATGGGTAGTCATCAAAAATTTCATACAAGATAATTATTATGTTTTACAGTAAATTTCAGTTAGAGATTCACAAATGAGTTAACTACACTTTTTAGTTATTAGTAAGTAAGCTGCGCGCACTCATTCAGAAGAGGAACTTGAATCTTCTGAATCGTTCAAATGAATTATTAGAGGTTCAATTTGGGTATCGATGACATTGTCCAAATCCCACATTTTGACCTCAACCTTCTCCCGAACGTGGCGGATACAGTTTTTCCATTCCTCTGCCGTAACTCTATTGACTGCGATGTGAAAGAGATTTTTAACATCAGAAAATTTATAAGTATTATTATTCGACGCCACGTATTGCTTTATGTTGGCCCAAATCAGCTCAATAGGGTTCAGCTCACAATGGTAGGGTGGCAGTCTCAAGACAGTTTTATTTTGTTTTTTGGCCATTTCGTCGATCATTTTAAAATCGTATTTGTATTTATGTCTATTGACTATACTTATCAATTCACCCTTGACCATTGTTTCATCAAAATCGATCTGTTTTGAGGCCAGCCATTGTTGTATGTTTGCTTTTTTAGTTGCCATTGTGGGAATTTTTTCTATTTTTCTAGAATGGTACGGGGCATTATCCACAATAACAGCGTTATTCTCCAGCTTTAGTAACATTTTGGAGAACCAATTTTCAAAGGAATTGCCGTCCATCTCCTCATGATAGTCCCCTGTCTTTTTTGATTCAAAGGCCCACAGTGCTTCGGGAACAAA